TTGGGTGTTACATATGACACTTGAAATGTGTAAAGCAATGTCCTTTAATGTGTACTAAAGGAGTTATAAACTGAGAAATCTAATCCCATAAATGTGTTACAAGATAATATATTTGCAATGAATATTACAAGAATTTGATTTACTATGTAACGACCCCGAAAATTCTAAAGAAAATAATTTATAAATTTAGTGCGGAAACGAAATAAATAGTTAGGGTTTACATTCCTTACATAATAACTGAAAGTACTAAATAGGGTTTACGGGATAAAAGAACAATTAAGAACTAAGAAAATAAATTAAAAGTAAACAAACTGAGTATTCTATTCGCAATTCTCTTGTGGATCGGGATCTGGATCCTGGTCTTCTTGATCTGAAATGGTTAATGAAAGAATAAGTTACACTACCCTAGTAAGAATATCACGCTACTCATTAACACAGAAATGAAGGTTGGTAGAAATCATAAAAACAACTAATGAAGCTCTTAATTAAGCAACATTATTTATCATAAATAAAATCATTTACCGTCTACTTACTGTAGCGAGATTTATAAAAATAACCTATAGGTGCAATAACATAACACATATTATAATTTTATATGCAATCGGTTGGAACAACAATTTTCTCTTTTATCAGCCTATTGGTATCCATAGGGTCCATAGGTATGTCCCCACAATGCGTGAACCATTTTCTTTTAACATTTTCAATTAACGGGCCGTCCCCATACCCTGTCCGGTATGAGCGCCAAATTACTAAATCTCGATACCTTGTCTGGTATGAACAACGTTCACGGTAGAGTTTTCTATGTACACGATCCGTCCACCATCTTCCAGAATATCCAGTAATGCTGCAGTTTCATCCATTCACTTAATCGAATACTTTTTCGATTACCTTTAATTTTTAGTTTTCCGACTCAACTGTAATAATATAAAGTAAGCAATACATGCATTCAAACTATAAAATCAATCAATCAGTTATTATCATACATTCAAACTGTAAAAATCAATTAACAGGATCAGCAGTGAATAATTTCTGGTTCTGACTCTATTAGTAATCTGTAATTAATTATGAATATTTTTTTAAATTATACAAAATACTGTATTATTATTAATTAGACTTCAATTCCATAACAGAGAATAAAATGAGTGATTCTTACTCAAATTGATGCACAAAGTGCTAAACTTATTGATTGTGCCTACTGGCGGTCCCCGGGTTTCCTAAATTTTTTTCAGAGATTAAAACGCGCTTTAAGTACCTAGAAATTTTTCAAAAAATCCAAAATCAGTATTAGGACCCCTTTTTGGCCAATTTTAAAATTCTGACATGGGGGCTCTGCTGTGCTCGGTGATGGAACTGCCGCCCACGGCGGTGGTTTGCCTCGGGTCAACTGTTTTCGTCCGGTTTTGTATCAATCCCTGCGAGAAAACACATTAAGAGGTCTCGGTTGACAAAAAAAAAATAGAAAAATCGAAACTCACCAGCGGCGGGGTTCTCTGGTGTGGCAGCTTCACCGGCTCACTTTTGCAGTTGGGTGTCTTGCTTCGCTCATCCTGTAGAGAAGGAAACAATGATTACAATGGTAGAAGAATTATGCATAACGGGAATCGGGAAGAGTCTCATCAGAGGCCTTTTTTGTATTTTCCTGCGGTAGCGCCGTCGGGCTTTGCCCGCGATTTCCAGTCAATCCGCCGGTCCTTTTGCTCCGATTTGGTCATGAGAATATTGAAAATCGAATTTCGAGTAAATGAGAGAATTTTTACCTCGTTTGGCGGTCGAAAGTGGCTCCGGCGCGGCGGCGGCTGGGTTTTTTTCTCCGGCGAGGGGGGTATGGCGGTTAGGGTTAAGATTTGGTGTGAAGAAGGTTATTTATATCCGTCCCCTTTTAATCTGGGTCGTCAATCGCATTTGATCTGAACCTTCTGATCGCGATTAAATAGGAAGTGAATCTGTACCGTTCATCGCAATTTAATCTGAACCTCCGATCGTATGTAAATAAAAAGTGGATCTGGACCGTTTATCGCATTTAAATCTGACCGTCCGATCGCGTCTGGAGAGAGAACGAATCTGAATCGTCTGTGCGGGCGGGAACGAATTTGGATCGTCCAATCGCGGGGACGCAGATCGCCAGCATGGCCTCCCGCGTGGCACCGCGCCAGTGTCCATTGCCACGCGACAGGCTCCAGTTTGTTGGATCTGCTGACTGGGCGTCCTACATGACACAATTTTACTAAATTACGTTTCAACTCCCAATTTCTGAATTTTCTTTTAAAAATACCCAAATAACCCAAATTTTTACTTTTTTAAAAAAAATTATTTTCAATTACATCATCCATTTAATTTTTTCATTTTTACATTAAATAATAGTTAAAAAAATAAAATTTAGATTATATATATTAATTTAAATATTACAAATTAAATTCTGGATATTACATACTATAATAGCACAAAATTAATATTTTATAACGGATAATCAATGTGGTATATATTTTATCCAACCAACAATAATCGACATACTGACTAAGGCCTTGTGAAGACAGAAATTTAAGGACTTGAGCTCCAAGTTTGGGATGGGGAAGTATAGAAATATACAGAAATAACATGAGAATATCTAGGATTAAACAAAAAGCGTAGGTACTAAAATCCTAAATAAAGGAAAGTTTCCTAAATCTTTTAAATTTATATTTTCTGTTCTATTTATAAAAATTTTGATTTGAAATCTAACCCTATAATGAATCTAATTAGTATAAAAATTATAGAACAGAATTTGCAGCTTTCTTCAAAAAATGTTCTGCAATGTACTCCTAAGAGTAACTAATAATTTTCAGCCCAGAAAAGCAAAAAAAAAAAAAAAAAAAAAAAAGAAAAGAGTAACTGAAAATTTAGTTCCAGTCACCATTTTTTTCCTGGTGACTGGAACTTCATTAAAATTAAAATTATGCCGAAACTATTTACTGTAGAATTTACATCTGCTGGCGGAGATTGTCACATCCCCCGACATGTACACACTCCGGTACCTAAAACCTAAACCACTTTCCCAAAACAAAGAGAAAAAACAAAAATACTTCAATTTAACCCAACTGTTCTACCAGCACTGATCCGTTTCCCATGTTCGGGTCGGGTAAGCCCGTGAATAGCGTGCCTTTGGTCTCCTGTCTGTAACCAGCGACAAATCATAGCGCATCCTGGTGGTCGGATCGGACAGTGTGGCGTAGGCGTTGTGGATCTGTATGAAATCATTGCCGTCCGATTCCGAGGCGTCGGGATGGTACACCTTCGCCAAACTTCGATAAGCTGTCTTGATCTCAGTGAACGACGCCGTTTCCTTCACTCTGAGAACCTCGTAGAGGCTCCCTCTCGTCCTAATCGTCGCGGCAGGCGCTTCTGCAGCGAACGTCTGAACCGAGGCCCGGCAGGGGGCGGCTCTGAAACCGAATCGAACGGCATGGGGCGGCGAATGAGAGGCTCCTGGAGGGAAGAAAACCGGTTTCGCGAGGGAGAAAGGTAGAGTTGAGTACATAATCGAAGGAGAATTTGAAAGAATTAAGGAGAAAATGAGGAAGAAGAATGAGAGGAATGTGAATGAAAGGGGGGAGGGAGGGAAGAGTACTTATTGAAGGTATAACGCCTGAAACCATGAGTTTTGAGGAATTTCAAATTCTGGGGATGGGGCCATTAGTTTACTTGACTTTTACCTTCTAGAACTTCTTTTTTTATTATTATTTTTTAATTAAAAAATTTAAAATAAAAAATCTTAAATTTAAATTTTATAAATATTTCATAAAAATAGAATTTAAATCAAACCACCCTTCAATTATTAAAAAAAAAAAATAATAATAATAATAAAAATTTTTAATGATTTATTATGTAAATTACTAATATGATATGTGGTCTTTGATTAGTTTTCGTGTCAAGTTAATCTCAAATTAATTTCTTGAAGACAATTATTTATATATCTTATATATTTATTTTGTAAATATATATATATATAATTACTTGGTACGTACTTTTCTTCAGTCTATTCTACACATAAATACAAATTGACTTTGGCAAATTACAATAAAATTTCACAAAGCTGAAGAAAAGACTTCTAGAATTTCAGACTCGTGGTTTAACGTGGCTGTCCTTGTTGATTTAATTGAAAATATTAATGTTGTGCTTAAAATTTATTAAATAAATTTTTAAATGGTGTGATGTTTTCAAGGTCCAAATTTGATCAAAAGGACAATTGATTAGAATAATTTTTTGTCAATTTTTAATATATCATATTTTTAACAAAAAAAATAAGCTCCTGAAATTAAAATTTTAATTAAAAAACAAAGGACCTAGTCGCATATGTGCAAATTACTAGAAGACAAAGGCTACTTGTACTCTACAACCAAATCTTTCCAAGAAATTTCCTAATCGCCGCTTGATTCAAAACCTTTTCATCATCTGATCAACTTTTACGAATCCAACGGTCAAAGACCACTGAAATCTGACCCAATAGTTTGAAGCTTGTTACATGGAATGCAATATGGTCGGCTACTCACGTGCCACGATTTCTAGAAGCAATTCGTGTTATCCGTGTAATTTTTTTTTTTAATAAAAAAATTGGGTATTTTTTATTGGAAATAGCATAGGCCAAATAAAAATGAAATATTAATAAAAAATATTTTAGTTAATATCCTCAAATTTCTTTAAACATAGAAAGTTTTTTATATATAAAAATAATGAAATTGTTGTTCATATTATCTTTAGGGCACTCATATATATATATATATATATCATAAACTATAATTAACTCTTTTACGAGATTAAAAATTTAAAACATGGAGGCAAATAATGGTACATCAAACACATAAACAAAAAGTAAAAAAGAAAAAGTAAATTATGTGGAATTCATAATTTTGCTTAGGAATATATGATATAAAACTAGTAAAAAATTTCGTATATGTGTATATATATATATATATATATATTGAATAGGTTGTACAATATTTACATAAATGTAAACAATTTTCTTATTTAATATTACAAACATTATTTTCTTCATGTAATTACATTTTATTATCTACTTCGGCTATGATATGGGTAGAATCATTTTTATATTTAATGATTATGTTTTTCTAGGGATGTTCATTACACACACACACACACATATATATATATATATTGTCCTGATAATACCACATGCTGAATATAATGGCATCCAATGATTAAAATCATCTACTACTATTATTACTATCAACCAAAAAAAATATAATGACATCGAATGATTAAAATCATCTACTACTACTATTACTACCAACCAAGAAAAAAAATGCTTATCTTAATTGGTATTGATTAAGATATACACATACTTATATATGTATATATGAGAAGTTAATGGGGTACCATAAACCTTCCTATTCCTCTACGCTTTTTAGTTTTTAATATTTTCACTTTGAAGGGGATTAAAAAACATATTTAGAGATCATAATTGTGTTTTAAGATAAATCTATGGTTACATTATATTTTGAAGGTTGTTGATCAATATTATACATAAATCCAGAGTTATGTTAGCTGTTATTCACATTAATAAATCCAATGATGGGGGGAGTATGGTTGCTTTCTTTTTTGAGATGCTTACTATATTATCACTATAACTAAAAGTACATACAAAGAATGCACTATTTTATATTAGTCACAACATAATGAATAAAATAGTTTTATATACTGATATTACCAAGCCGAATAATCCAGCTAATTTATAATATATATACGATGATCTGGTTTACAAACGATTAACTAACTATATATATATATATATATATGTGGTTGTTGTATGTAATCAATTAATTGATGGCACCAAATATATAATAGTATAATTTAACTTATAACTTAAGGGTACCACCATAATTTAGTACTTTGGTTATGGTAATGATAATTTTTAGCTTAATATAAGGATTTTGAGTACCACCTAATCTGGGTTTCTACTCCAAAAAAATTCCAGTAATAGTATGATACTTATTTTGAATTTTATACTTAAAAACGGATTCAAGTAAACATAAAATTTAAAGATGTTATAAAAATTTTAAATTTCTTCGATTGTATGTGATGTTGAAATATATGCAGCGTTATTAATTATCAAAATGTCAAATGTCAAAACTAATGATTCTACTTGAATAAAGACTAAATATTCTATTTAAAGATTGAAAAATAATTTACATATTTCAAAATACAACATAGAGTTGTGGAATAAAATTTTCTAATCACGTGAAATTATTCTTTCTTTCTTAAGTATAAAAGAAGTTTAGAGTCAAACTTTTAACTCATTATGATTTTTCTAATTAAAAAAATTCAACAAATGAATCATGTTTCTTTCTCAAACAAAAAACATAATATATTGGTCGAAATTTATGCTAACTTAAATCTTCACATTTTTCGTATTAAAATATTAGTAATTTAAATTTTTAATCTCTTAGAATTAAATATTATAAAACAACTATCACTATTCCATAACATATCCACAACAAAATTATTCTCACTTATTATCTCTTATAGCTGACTTATCTTTTATTTTACAAATTAAATAACAATTAAAAACATAATTTACCAAACATAACATCAAGAGTATTTTTAAAACAAATTTTACCAAACATTCCACTATTTTTTTTCTGAAGCTATTTTACTAAAAATTATTTTCACAATACTTTTAATAGCTTCGCTACACAAAAACCAGCCGAACCAAACAGACAATAAATCACTCTGTGAGACTTGGCTTTGGACAATTTGAATCTTCATATGGTAACGACAATTTTAAGTGTGCATGTGATCAAAAAAGGAAGCCAGCAACAGTGCCATCCTCTCCTCCTCTTAGTAATTACCAACTGAAGCCAGACAACACAAAAGAATCACCCAAGTCTTCTGATAAGCAACCAATTCAAGCTCAGAATTATGGCGTAAGATCAATGGCTACAAACTTGAACATCTACCAGGCAGGTTGCTTCTCTTTCTCCAAATATTCTATACGAGAGCATTAAGATATATGAGGAATAAGAGAAAGAAAGTTATGCTGTTAAACTAAACGTTCCCCTCTTCTGAGTGGGCCGTCTCGCTCTTGGCACAAGAAGATAATAAGCAGAAATCTTATGAGTTATCAAACAAAAGAAAAATGATAATGCCTCAAAAGTTTATCTTTCTATCTATGCATGTGTTTTAGTAGAAAATTTAAAATGTGAGATTTCCTGGCAGGTTCTTCTTGAATCTTGGCTTCTTTAAGATACATTTATATGCTGGACTTGAGTATAATCTTTTCAGGATTGTCTCTGATTCGCGTTCTATCCCATATTCCCTTAAAACTGTCAACTTATGCTTTGATAATAAATAAACCAAATTTGATACTCAGTGCATGATATTTTGGTGAATAAATATCTTTCCAGCACTGAAACTCGCAGTGCTGTGGTTCTATTCATCTTTTCAGTTTCAAATTTCCAACTTTCACACAGCCTATATATCCAAGTTAAATCTTTCACAGTTGTCTGATCAAGCCACTTCTTTCCTAAGCCAGTGTTTCTATCATCTACATGTATGAGTTCATCTTGGCTGTCTTGATTTGTAGCCATTAAGAGTAATAATTATATGTTCTAAAAATATGCCAGGTCATTTTTCATCAGAGGTGGTACTATTACTACTCAATTCAAGCCAAAGCACCAGCCTCACTCTGATAATCTGTTAGTCAACTCCATATCTCAAGTATCTATTCGTGACCAGTTATCACTGATATAAGTGGTATTGGTACCTTCTATTTAAGTCTTATGCAAGGAAATCTCCCTTCAAACCTTTAACTTGGTCAAGACAAAGAGAGTTGTGAAGAGTCAAGAAGACTTGAGAACCTAAAAGTTATAAATCATCAAAACTCTTGAGAACCTAAAGATATAATTCATGCAAAACAAAATAGTAACCAGAAAGGTACAAGCAATATAAATGTACGCAACAGTTAAATTTTAAACAGAAAATACTTAACCATTACATAGCCATGAGTGAAAGAAATGCAACTTTAGAGTAAGCATATAGTAAGTTAAGAAGTGCAGAGACAAGGATAAGAAGATATTGAAGGAAACTGCATGACGACAAACTCTTAATGAGAATAACACCAGGAACAAATTATTTAAAATAAATTAGTCGATACACAGACAATTTGACCCGCTCAAAGAAACTATACAATTCATTAAATAAAGTAAAACTATTCATCATGACTGTGAAATAGGAAAACAGAGAGGCGCAGGTCACATAAAGAAACTATGCCATAGTAAATTAAGGGTTGAAAACTTGTTTGTCCTGTACCACAATAAATTTATCAATAGCAAATTACACATAGTATGGTCAATATTACTACTAATAAGCCACAACATAGTATGATTGTTTCACTTGCTAAAAATAAGGGGTTTCTTAATCTTGGTGATACTGATCATAGTTACCAGGTTCGGTCAACCCCTCAGTGATATACATATCGAATTCTTTAAACTGATTTGTTGTACGGGATTTGCTTAGGTTCGTTTTCTCAAGCAGGACCTATAAAATTAGAAAACAAGATTTAACAAGTGGGGCAAATTGAGAAATTGCGAAAGAATAAGACTCTGGAGACTGAAAGAGAAAAGGTATGGAAAGAGAATGAAAATATAATGTTCTAATAACTTTCATTTGAAACTGAGATTACTTAAGCGTGAAATAGAAGATGTAGGCATCAAATTAAGAGCAATAGTCCATTAAATGATGTTTTTTCCTTTCTTTTTTATTTCTTTGATGGCCCCAAGGGGCTGATAAATTTCGAAACTCCTACCCTTTTGGTAAAGAGGGAGGGACATAACCATCCCAGCCAAGGTGAGATGGTTGATTTTTTTTTTTTCCTTCCTAGCTATGAGAAAAGATTTGGATCCATGACCTCTTTACATTCACAGAACAAGATCCAAGAAAGTAAGAATGTACTACTAAATTATTATTTATAATCCGAATAATGAAACTAATAAGTAGCTCCATCCAACTTTAAACCAAATTATAGAACCATTTCTACCCTGCAACCTAAATTTGGAATCATTGGAATCTCATATCCGTCCCCAACTTGATATGAAGATAATGCATTTTTGGTAACAATGATACTGACAAACAGAAGAGGTCATGAAATAAATCCAATTACCTCAAACAGAAGAGTAACAAAGCCATCATCACTCCAGTCTGGCTGCTCTGTACCTTAACTTCCTATTGTGATTTTCCTGTCAGAAGTTATTGCAAAAAATTCCATCAATTTCACTTCAAAGAAAACCACGAAAAATCAGCAATGAAACAATTATCACAGTCGATTCCAGACTGAATAAACAAATGGCCAATCTTCAACGGACCGAGAAACTCAATTGATCAGTTTGCCGACAGGCCTCCGCACGCAAAACTCCATAAAGTTCATGCCTAACTCAAAATTCAATTAAATTTGCACTGTCAACACTACAATAGACAATCTCACCTGCTCAAAAACCTTGGCGGAGCTCTCCTCAACGAGTCTGGCCACGCTCTCAATCTTAGTGAGCATCTTCTCATACAAATCCTCCACCCCCCCAGTATAATTCGCGGCGTCTGATCCCAGTAGACGGTTCAATTTCGCCACCTGAAACCCCTCCGCGCAGGCGTCTATCTCCCTCTGATCCTTTATTGCCTGTTTCATTCCACTCAAACTATCTTCATGCCTATCCTCGCTCATAGAGGAGGTCCTCAGCTCGCATCCCAGCGACGGGAATGGAGAACTGGGAATAAACGACCCATAATGCCCCCGAAACGCTGGCCCGATATTGACTATATCGACGGACCTCGGATCTAACGATTGCCTCGACGTGCAAAACTGGTACGCGCGGTACTCGTGCGTGTGTATGAATTGATCATTTAACGGAGTGGTGAAGAGGAGGAAGAGGCAGGAGGAGAGTCTGGGGTTAGGGTTTTGAGGGTTTGTGATTAAGAGGGAGAAGTGAGAGGAGAGAAAAGAAGTTACAGAGAATTCACGCATGGAAGGGCGGGAAGGAGTTTTGCGGCGAGCAGAGAACCAGCCGAGAAGGTGAGAAGTGGAAGTGGCTCGGAGAGAGTCAACTCTTCGTGGATCGACTAGACCGAGCGAGTCGTAGAAGGAAAGGGTGGTCCCGGAGCAGAGGAAGTTGGTTATGGTGGCAACAAGCTGGTACGGGGAGTCGGAGGATGGATCCGTAGACAAGTAACCGGAGGGAGAGTCATCGGGAAGAGTGGAGGTGGTGATGCGGTTGATGTGGCCGAATATGAGACCGTCAACGTCGCCTGCGGAGGAGGAAAGCCGTTGGATCATTGAGGCCAATGTGGGGCCTAATATCGCAATTTTCTCCAATGGAAGATCGTCCATGACAAACACCTGCGCAGGCGAGCCCAAGAGAACAGAAGAGGAGAATGCAGATTCCAGAATGACGCTCTACTGATTTCCTGGGCAAAGCAAAGTAGCTGAGCCAGCGTAGAGAGAACTTTTAAAGCAAACTACGACGTCGTTTCGGGGTAGTTAGAAAAAAACACTAAACAAAATCATAATATCTTATCTGAATCAAAAATTCAAAGCGGACCAATTTTATTCGAAAGAAACATCAAGTTCAAACCAATACATATTATTGTCCTAAGATTAAAAAGAATAATGAATGAATCTCATACAAGCTTTGTCTGTACATATGCTAAAAAAACAAACCCACAAGAACAAAGAATGACGACTATTTTCCTATTTTCTTATATGTGAACCTAAAAAAATGAAGCAATCCCATTATTCTCTGCAGCCCAATCCTTATTCACCAGTTGATGGGACTTTAGCTCCATCATCACCGGAAGTAGTAGTAGTAGTAGTGGCCACCATCTCTGGCTTAATCTCCTCTAGCTGCTGCAGAACTTGCTGAGCTTCAGGACGTGCGGATGGTGAAGGATCAACACAGTGCAAGGCTAATTTCAAGGTATTAAGCAGTTCATCCCCTATGGTGGACGAATCTCTCATTAGCTCCAAATCAAATACTTCATTAGTCCACTCTTCCTTCACAATGGAAGCCACCCACTGAGGAAGGTCCATTCCGTTTGTTGGTTCACCAGGGGATCTTCCTGTCAACAGCTCCAATAGAATGACTCCAAGGCTGTATACATCAGTCTTCGTGCTTGCATTCTTTAGCTTCGAGAGTTCTGGTGCACGGTACCCAAGCGTTCCAGCCGTGGCAATCACATTGGTGCTGGCAGCAGCAGTCATCAGCCGGGAAAGGCCGTAATCTGCAATATGGGCATTGGTCTGCTCATCAAGCAGTACGTTGCTTGACGTGAGGTTTCCATGGATTATGTTTTCCTTGGTGTGGAGATGGCTTAATCCGCGTGAAATGCCCATGGCTATGTTCATCCTTGTCGCCCAGCTAATCGTTGTTTCTGGCCCGCGAGCTGCATTAAGAAAACCCCAAGTTAAATAGCATGTAGATAAAACATTTTTTCTTTACTAACTCTCCCCTGTGAAAAACCATGTTAGAGCAAAAACTTACCATGAAGGAAAGATGCTAGACTTCCCTTGGACATGTAATCGAAGACCAGAAGTTTCTCTCCTTTGGGTCCGAGATAATATGCTCTGAGTGCTAGGAGATTCGGATGGCGGAGCTTCCCTAATGCAGCAGCCTCAGTTTCAAACTCACGCTGCCCTTTCGTCGTCTTCTCTCTTAATCTCTTAACTGCAACTTGATTACCATCCTCTAAAGTTGCCTTGTATGCAGTCCCATAAGTGCTCTTCCCCATTATCTCTGCAGTTGCACACAACAAATCATCTGCAGTAAACACAAAGGGTCCATCAAAGTGGACTAATTTTCCACCCATTTCATTTCCTGATTCCACTTCAGTGCCGCCTGCAACTGGTGCTCCCTTCTCAGCTTTTCCCGCAACAGAGCGTACAGTATCTTTCCCATTACTTTGTTTCAGAGTGGCCTTTTTCTTCATCAAACAACAGAGTAAAATGCAGCATAATATCAGCAGAACCGCTAGTAGAGCACCGATGGCCATGAGAATGATGTCTTTGATGCTAAGCTTGTGGCGATGATGTTTTGGTGCCTCCATTGGTGAAGGTGGAAGAGTTATAGGTGCGGGAGAAGGACATAGGGTTGAACTGCTGTAACCACATAGCTGAAGATTTCCCATGAAAGAGCTTGAGTTGAATTTCTTGGAGAGCGGAGATGGGACTGAACCAGAAAGCTTGTTGTAAGAAACATTAAAGGAAGTAAGGTTGGCTAGTTTAGCGAGTGGAGCAGGAATTTCTCCTGTGAAATTATTTTCTGATAAATCAAGTTCTTGGATGCCAGATATATTTGCTATAGTAGCTGGGATATGGCCACTGAACTGATTATTCTTTAAGTTTAACTCTGTGAGATTCTGCAACCTGTCGATTGTTTCTGGAATTTGGTCATTGAGGTGATTGTTCTGTAGATTCAAGGAGACAAGAGAGGAGAGGTTGGAAAAGCTAGAAGGGATGCTCCCATTGATAACATTGTCAGATAAATCTAGCATTTGGAGATCTGTGAGGCTACCCAGCTCACTGGGTAGGGTTCCAGCAATCTGGTTATGACTAAGAGATAACTGCTCAAGCATACCCAACTTGCTTAGAGAAACTGGAAATGGCTCCGAGAAAAAGATTATGATCAAGAATCAAGAGCTTAAGTTTGTATGTGTTATTTTCCTGCTCCAACCCAAGTGTCAGGGATTTGACCAGACAGATTGTTGTGCTGGAGAGCAAGGATGGTAAGAGAAGAGGACCTAGTGAGACTAGCCGGAACAGAGCCAGAAAGAGCATTAAAGCTCAGATTGAGTCTGTATAACCTGGTGGAGTTGGCTAGGCTGGGAGGAATTACTCCAGTAAGTAAATTGTTACTTAAATCAAGAGTCTGCAGAATAGGACAGTTACCAATAGATTGAGGGATAGAACCTGAAAGCCGGTTGTTGAAGAGATAAACTCCTCTGAGATTCGGGAGGAAACCAAGAGACCAAGGGACAGGGCCAGTGATAACATTGTCATGAAGACTAAGCTTTCGAAGAGATTGAAGCTGTCCAATTTTCTCCGAGATTCGACCGCCTAGTCCTCTCCAAGGAAGCTGAATGGCAATAACCTGTCCCTTAACACACTTGATCCCAGCCCACCCACCCGAGCAAGCTCCATATCCACTGTCATTCCAGCTTCGTAAATATCTTCTGGAGTCGATTAGGTCGTGCTTGATGGCTCGGAGTGCTTGATAATCTGCCTGGGTAACAATTATCCCATCCCATGAATTGCCTGAAACAAGCTGGAAACGAAGAACAAGTAGGAACAAGAACAAACAGCTGGAAAGAAAAGGTGAAAAATGCAGACTCCATTTGGTTCTCCTGGCATGTGAAACATGGCGCCAGTTTTCTAAAAGAAAATGAAATGGGTTTGTGTCATTCTGGCTGGGGAAGAAACTTAAATGGGTATTTTCCATGAACATAAAGAAGAAACAGAAACTTGAAGAGAAAAAAGAAAAGAAAGGAAAAGAGAAGAGAAGGGGGGAAAACTGGAGTGGGTTTCTTGTTTTTCTCCTCTTCTGTTCCCTCTTTTCTCTTGTGTCTGTGAATGATAAACGTAGGTGATTGAGCAGGTTGTATAGAGAGGATGAATGAATGATAAACGTAGATTTAAGAGTGGGAGAAATTAATTCAGAAATTTAAGTATAATGTTAGAAAGAGCAGAGCACGTGAGAGGAGCAGGCAGGGATGAGAGAGATTGAAAATGAATATTATTATTCGTTGGGAGAAGAAATCAGAGGTTGAAGCCAATTGTAACGGCTAGTTTTACTTTGAGGCATGCTTGGAAAACGGTCAGATAACTCCTGGACTTCCTGACTCTCTGCCCCCATTCTCCAACGGCTATATGTAAAATGGGGCCGTATATGTTCTGTGATTTTATTTTTACGGTGGCCGGAAAAACCAACAACCACAGCGTTTCGTTAACATAAATATACTGTTTAAATACCACTAAATTTTTTTTTATCAACATTAAATTTTATAAAAATTAAATCAATACCAGTTGTTTGATATTAAATGAATTCTAAATCAAAATTAAATTTCTAACAATATCTTATTCAATTTAATTTTTGAAGATACAACGATTTATGGAGAGAAGTGTAAGAATAATAATGACAATACATAAAATTAAATTAAAAGAATAAATTTCTTTTACTATCATTATGAAATTAGTTTTCAGTTTAAAAATTTGGAATCGTAGATGGGAAAAAAAAAAAAAAAAAAAAAAGAAAAGCAAAGAGTATCTTCCCACATAGAACATTAAAAGTTTAGTTTCTTTGTTTACGTTGACCTCTAATCCCTTGCATTTTTTGTCATCTTTCTGTTTCCCTCCATGCTTTTAGATTCTTATATCTGTTATGAATTTTCACTACGAACAAGTCAAACCATATATTCTTATAATTTTGTAAATTTGCATTCAGATTATAATGATAAACACTATTAACTCAATCAAAAACTACAACATCAAATCTCAAGCGCTCCACCAAATCCTGGGCCTTTCAAAATTATACAGGTTTCCAACACATTAAAATCATTGTCCACCTACACAATATTCACTCATGAAACAATCACCCATGAATTCCAGATAACTATGTCAGCTACAAAATTCTTACAATTCCAGAATTTTAGTAACTAAACTACCACAATATATGACAAACTAAATATCAAGCTTGAACAAATAAACTTCTATTTGAAGTAACCAGTGGGAATTGGCCCTCAGGACCATTAATCCAACAAGACTCCATGCCAATTCAAACACTCAAAATTATCCTGCAACATCTATTCCTTTTGTAGGAGATAATACTTGAAAACGACAACATATTTCTAACTTGTTCTTCCTAACTGCCTCTAAGCTTCCAAATCATCAACAGCAATTATAAAGTCAGATGATCAGGAAGGCAACTGGGAACCAAATCTGGTGTATAAGTATCATCACTACATAAGTGCTCATGAATCATCAAAAACAAGACTGAAGTAGAGAGTATCACATATGCTAGCTACGTAACACAAGAAAGAAGCATGAGCAGCATTCCTCAACTTGCAACAAATGAATTGACAAAATTTTCGATTGAATTCTACAGAAAATGCATTCAATATGGAATTGCACAAGTACATCTTTTACTCCATTCAGAATTGACAAAATTTGGAAAACTAGAGTGCTAAGAAAGAGAAGTTAAAATGTGTTTTAAACTCTTACTTGTGTTCCCAAAATTCTAGACATTCACTTTAATGTCTGAAATACTCTAGAGGATCATTATTTACATCAAAATTCCACTTGGCATTTCCAATGACTTACTGGTTCAGTTTCATGATTCACCCTCATCAAAACAAAAACTTTCTTTCTTTATTTCTTTTTCTGGGTTTGGATGACAATTTACAATCACACTCATCAATTGAAATTATTTAAAAAATATAAAGAGATGTACAGTGGAATGAGGGGCATGCCAGTGTCATAATGACATATCCAGCCCTTGGGATTCAAGAATTAGCTGAATAAGTGATAACCAAACAGGAATCACTAAGTTAATTGTACCAACAGCCAACACCAGCTACAATAAACATGCAGTTGAACACAAGATCCTGAAATAAAATGAGCAATATGTTATTCATGCATGCTGCTACATAGAAAGCAATTAACCTAATGGTTATAGCCACATCGAAATCAATAGGTCCTGAAAGTCGCCGCCTTTACGCATAAATATAAGAACACCACTACCTTCATCACACATGTAGATTAATTAAAGAGAAAGAAAAAATGCAGATGCATATGAGGACATAATAGAATAGATAAGACAACATTTTGTTTGCCACATCCATAACAGGGCAGTGGTTCATTATGCATTAATCACCTATTCAACAGGAAAGCTAATCATATACAGATCTGCAACCATGTCATTCTAAGAAGACAATTTCAATATGTATAGATGAAATAATTGGATGGTTGTATGACGTATAGAATTACAATGGTATAATGTAATATATTTCACAAAAATTAGAAACAATCTCTACAGATCCACCATCAAAAGCATGAAATTATATCCAAAATGAAATGAAAGAAGACAGATCCATACATGTCCATGGATACCCATCTATTAATAACGAAAACTTATACAAAATTTTCTTTTCTTATCGATTTTATTGTCAACAAAACCTGTAATGAATTGGTTAACGAATGAGAAAGTGAGGAGTGATTCCAACCACATTCATCAAGAGCGGTTGATCGGCCTTACACGCGCCCGGGAACAACCGAGGCAGAGGAGGCGGCGACCTTGGTGGCAGCAGTACCGAGGAAGGAAAGGAAACCGGTAGTGGCTTGTTCTTGCTCGTCCATGAAGAGATCTTCAGGAACCCTAAAGGAGCCATGAGCACAGATAAGAGCGACTCCGACCATGAGAGCGGAGATCAAGACAGATCCGACGCTTGTCAAGAAAATGACGACGACGCTGGAGACGATGAGCATGCCGAGGGTCTCCCGATCGGAGAAAGTGCGGCCGAATAGGACAAGGGGCTGATCAGCGGGGCGGAAGAGGTAAAGGAAGAGCCAGGAGGAGAGGAGGGCGAGGAGGATGATGAGGGAGATGGGGTGGGTGAGAAGAGAGAAGGCCACAATAAGGACGACAGCGGAGAGATAGTTTACCTTGAAGTAGGTGTAGTTTTTCCGGACGCGAAGAACGGCGTCGGAGAAGGATTCCGGCTTTGAAAAGGCGGACCGGTCGACAAGCTCCGCCCAGGGACGGCGCTGGGAGAGACCTTGACGGACAGATTCAGTGATATGGTTAACGAAGGCACGGAAGGCAGGGGTGGCAATGGGTGGCTGCGAGGTGGCGGAGGTGGCGGTTATTGTGGCGGGGGCGGTTTGAGGGGTAGAAATGGGAAGTACAGGGGGAGAAGGAGACGCCATTTTCGTTGTGGAAAATTCTGTAGGGTGGATCTCCTTCGATCTTTTGGGTTTTAGGTTAGGAGAGAAGGATTAAATATTAAGCGAGGGAGGATTCGGCGAAAAGGGACGAGAGGTATGACTTCAATTTTCCTCTGTTAATACGGACGTGATTCACCGACAGGAGAAAGGTTAATGTATGAATTCCGAAAAGTACATCGACCAATCAGAAGCAAACACGTAGCCACAAATTTATTTATTTATTTATTGAAACCGTGTGTATAATTTTTCTTGGGGAGGATATAAAACAGAAAGAAAGCAGGCCCATTCACTCATAAGTGGAAGATTACCAATTCTAATTTTTAATACATAAATACAAAGCAGAAACCAACTAAGTTATCAATCTCATTTTCTGCAATTAAATGGAAATGCCATCAACTTATATATATACATATATATATATATATATACATCCTTATTTGATTAGTTTAGCTAAATCACACTCATTTTTCATTCACGTAACTAAACCTAATTTTTCTAAAAAAATTCCAACATTACTCTTTTTTTTTTTTTTTTGACAAATTCTTTGATTTTTTATACTTCTACAACTTAATCCCCTCACGTTTTCTATTTACTTCAAACTCTAATTTTCTTCCAAATATGTAAAATAACTTAATTATATTTGAATACTTTAAAAAATAACTCAAAAATAAGCTTAACTAATTAATTAAATTAATAATAATATCATACATTATTTTTTTTATTGTTATCAATTTATTAATTTAATTACTTATTAAAACCCTTTTCTTGAGTTATCTTTTCAAAGCATCCAAACAAATTAACCATTTTATCTTTTTTCATAGACAACACATTTGAAACAATCAGAATAATTTAAGAACCAAATTTAACCCCAAAAAATATATATATATATATATGAACCAAATTATACGAGTGTCAAAATAGCAAGGACTAATTTAGTAGTTTATCCTATATTTTAATAATAAAATATCATCCGCTCATCTTCTGTACTTTTCAAATCAACCCCATTCAGGAGACTAGAAGGAAAAAGGTCACTTAACATCCAGACAACACATATAATTGAAGTCCACACTAGCTGATACTACAAACACCTAGTTGTTTCTCCCCTTCTTAAATCATGGAGCACAGTCACAGCCAAGCACAATCAAATATAAAATGCTCATAAGTAAATAGGTCATAACAAATGTTTTCATTCATAACATTCATGCATGGATTCACACAATCCGGTAAGTATTACCAATATTTATGATACGATACCAATACAGAGGTTTTAAGCTATCTGATAAGGTAGCATCCAGATTGTGAGTGATACATCCCATTTAGAAGGTAGACCCATTCCATCCAAAGTTCGAACCCTGCACAAAAAAAAAAATATATATAGAGATTAAAACCATCTGAAATTTTACCAAGTACACCATAGAACGACTCCAAGTACAGAAATGGTGAAGAAAGCACAAGTAAGATTCTTAACAGAAGCTAATAAGAGCTACTCGTAGTATAAAACAGCAAAGATTTATTTACATTATCTAGTGCTGGTGCAAAGCATGTAAACACTGTGCATGTTCTTGACTTTGATGGGCCTAAACAAACAGGGAAAATGCAATGAGAAGACACTCGTGCACGACAATGACTCATCTTTTGGATATATTAGAAAAAAGTATGAGATAGCTTGCCTTAGTGTCATAGAACTTGAGGAAGAATCGCGACTTGGGCACTGACAATTTAGTTTCAAGAATTGCAGCAATTGCAGCACTCAGTTTCTTGTTCACATCAGGGTTAAGGCCACCAATGGATACCAGCTCACCATAAGCTGCTGGCTGCTCAGTTCCACCAAATGCCATAGGCACAGATCCCTTCAGCACAATCATCACATACTGCAGATTAACAGACAACAAAGAAGTGGATTCAGTAACGTAACTATATCATATATTTAAGAAACAACACTAGGAAAATAGGAATCTTCTTAAACTGGAAAAAGAATTAGCTAATCATATAGTAATTGAATGAGACCAGAGAAATCGAGCATAAAAAATTTTTAACCAGTCAACAGCAAGCTTTAACAGATTACCCAGTCAGAATATTTCTTTGCATTTGGAAATAAGGCTTTGATATAGTCTACTAATCCAACTAGAAAACCCACATTCCACATATAAGCTAGAGGCTGCTTACATAATGAATCATAGACAATTGAAAAGAAAATTAAGTAATAGGTGGGTAATTCACAGCAAAGCATGTCCAGAAGAAAGTATTTACCAAAAAAATTTCTAACTCTAGCAGACAAAAATAACAATTGACTTTCAGCGATTTTACATTTTGATAACAGGTGCAGTCAATGCAATATCCGAGGAAAAGACAGCACTAAGAGTAGATGAGAGCTAATGAAGACATGCAAGTAATGTGAATTATCTACGCTACTAGAAAATATCAGATTAGTTATATAAACTCAAGTAAAAACTGAAGAAAGATATTATACTTGATCTTAGAAAAAAATCTTTTCTCAAATGCTTTTAGCGTGTCAACATCCAAACTATGTAAATTGAACAATGAGCTAACCAAAATTTTCAGGAAAAACTTTTGTGCTGTAAATTTCTAAGACAGAGATAAACACCAAGAACCCATGTGCCCCCGCGCTTCCCCTGCCTGCCCCATCGAGTCCCCAGTTCCACTCCGTAAAAAAATGTTAAACGGAGCCCCATTATAAACCTTGGAATAGGATGAATATTATCTCTGTTACCGTCCCCTTTTCATCAAAGAATGAAGAGAAAATTATCTCAAAATCAGCTTTTGACAAGAAAACTCTCATTCAATGGTTCATACTTGCCAGTTTATCTTGCCAACAGATATATCTGAGGAAATCGCTCATAAACCGATAAGCATTTGCATAAGACCCTTCAGATTTAAGTATTAATTCCAACATGGTTATATATATATCGTTTATTCCCCTGCAATAGAGGAATATTCATGTATTTTAGACCGCTCAAGACGCAACAAGACAAAACAATGCAAAACCTATTTATCTCACGAAGCAAGAAATATAACATTTCCCAATATGTAGACCTTAGTCAAAACGAACTCAGCCAACTTAAAAAAGAAAGAGAAAAACATTTTGAACAGCTAAATTCCTCAAAACCATTCTTCAATTCACCTCACAAACGAACATTAAAACATTTCCACGAACTACCCCCATCATATATTAGAAATGCAAAGGGAGAAACTCAAGAGCATGGAGATACAAATCAAAAGTTTGCCAACCTACAGAATCGATATCCTAAAGCACAAATAAAACAATCAGAGGATGCATGCAGGGACTAAGGTCTGGAAAATGAGAGCTTACGGACTCAGGTTTGCCGATGAGCTTGGCGACAGTTGAGGTAGCCTCAGAAAGGATGGAGGAGGTGTCGACGCCGTCAAGGCTGACATTAGTGGAAAGGTTCAGGCAAGGCATCTTCTGCTATCTTGACTCACTTCTCTCTGTGTAAGCACCACTGCTTTTTAGTCCACAATGTGCCCCAAAAATCCGCCCCCCCAATCTAAGGAAGAAGGAAAGAAAAATGACTTCAAGCGGAAATTGAGAACCACTAGCGAATTCCCGAACTCGGCCTCTCCGTGCCCTACTGACTCAGTTTGATAGAAGCCTGTTTCAAGTTGGGCTGATGGCCCAGAAGCTCCGGCCCAATTAAATATAAATACGACTGAACCATTTGGTGCGCTGATGCCATGTCACCGGGAAAGTCCAACCAATCATATTCTGACACATCAAATTAAATTGCCACATCATAATTGGACTCGAATCAACGTTGTGTGTATATATATATATGTATTTCTGCTTTTATATATAACATACAAATTTTCAAATCAACATATCCTTTTTCTTTCCAGTTGTTTTCTTAAACGCACCGTATATCAATAAATGAAAATATAAACAGAAAAATGAATCTAACCATTCAAAATGTAGCATTAAAAAAGCTTCATTTTTCACTTTTATAATTCATTAAAATAATAAGCTCACATGTATTGTTCGGAATTTGGTAACGGTGAAAAGAAGAGACTTCACTTTTGGTATCGATATTAAATTAACAACTAATCATTGTTAGATGATTATATAATTATAAACTTTTTTTTACTCCTTTGTATTATCTTTTCTTTTTCACTTGTTTAAGTAATTAATTAAGTTAATGGAGCTTGCTTTTGCAAGTGAATAACTAATTAATCAAGGGAGAGAGCTTGTTTTCGCAGCCATGAGATAGAATTCATTAGTTATTTATATATATATATATATGAAAACAAAAAATAATCTATTGTTGAAATTAAAGCACAAAATACAAGGTGAGAGAGTAACAACTAATTTAGTGAGATACATATGTATAGTGATCACAATTTAGAGGGTATTGCGGTGGTGTCATAAACCTTGAGAAAAAAGCGAGTCGTAGGGATGGAGAGGTGCGTCTCCAAAATTTTGCCGATGGCACCAATCAGTTTCCTCTTCACTTGTCGATTAATTCCCCCCATCGATACCACCTCTGCGTACGCAGCTGCTTCTCTATTCTCATTGAACCATATTTCAGTAGACCCTTTCATCACCACCATCACCAACTGCTCTTCAAAACAAATAAATTATCACCTTTTAACTTCAAAATTTATAATTTTTTTATTAAAAAATATATGTACCATCCATTCAATTAAACACCGATCAAAATCAACTTTCATAAATTAACTGTGTAATTACTAAAACTTACTGTTCTACCACTTCGTACGATATGACTGCATGAATTCTAAGTCATCGTGGTTTTCTTTGTTTACCCAAAAAAAAAAAAGAAAACAAACAAATAACCCTGAAACCTTTTTCCCAACTTCAATAATGCGCATACAGTGATACATATCAAATTGTTATGTCAAACCAGTCAGTTCATTGGGTGGGAAGTATGATGGGTAGTTTTTCGGCTACAGGGTCCACACGTTCATGTCTTTTAAATTGTACTCTTTCACTTGAAAAGACAGACACATCAATCTGTATAAACTTTATTTTATTTTTGTGCAGTTGGTTGGTCTATTGATTTTAATATTTTTTTTTTTATTCCATCCGCAGACAAATTATTCATTCTAAAATATTGTATTATGCTACATACGCTTGACCGCAATTTTGCATATATATTTTTATATATATATATATATGTATGACAGCCGAACAAACCATAAAAATATTTGATGTGAAAGTAAGAGACATGTATTTTAATAGAAAACATTTAAATAGCTGCTTCTTAAAATTATATTTCTCAATTCTTCCTTTCCCTCTTTCATTGTAGTTTATCTAAAATTTGATAAATGGGTTTTTCTTATATGTTTGTCATTTAATATAGCAACTATATATTTACCAAATACACCTAAAAAATTTAATACAATTTATAATAATCTTGTTTTAGTCAAACACTCCAGCAGTTTAGTTTATCATAATACTGTTTGAGAGCTTACAATAATTATCTGAGTTATTTATTGGAACAATATTTAATGTCGATCGAAAATTTTCTAATGCCAACTTATTATATGTGTATCCATTTTATAAACCTGGAGGACTGCCCCTGAATAAACACAAACTTTAAAAGACAGATGCAAACGAAAACTACAGAAGAAAACCTTTGATATCTCCATGTATGTGTGTGTGTGTGTGTGGGTATAACGTCAAATATTTATATATAAATCAGTAAAAACTCGGAAACTGTTGTGTTCTAGAGAAGAGAGGAAAAGACAAGCTTAGAAGCCTGCAATAGATAGGACACTAGCTAAACTTATCCCATCTTTTTAAAAATACACAAGACGGAGTTGTAGATATATATAACAGCAAGCTATTACATATATTGAATATTCCATAAGATTAAGATGAGCTGAATATTGGATTTAAACATGAGAGAGAGAGAGAGAGAGAGAGAGAGAGAGAGACTAGAATACATACGTGTTGTGGTTTACCGATGATGGAGGAGAGAGCCTGAGTGGTCTCTGCATAAATGGGATCAGCATCGACAGCATCGAGGTTGACGTTGGTGGTGATGTAAAGACAAGGCATCTTAATCTTAATCTTAATACGAGAATTAAGTAGCCAGCTGCAGGGTGCTGTGTAAGAGCTGGAACTTGATTATTGTTCGCCGGCGAATGATCTTAATGAAAGCAGGTGTGGATTTATATAGAAGAAGAAACCTAAATGTTTGCCACGAGGAACATCTTTTGCCCTACCGCCAATAATTGCTGTTTACTTCTAACGATCATGACGTCAGTCAAACGTCTTTTCATTTTCCTTTCACCTTTAGCTTAATATATTTAAGTACATAAAAAGCTAATTAATTATAAACGGGTTTTTAAAACAGAAAGGAAAATTAAATAATTAATTACAATTAATACACATAATATAATTTACTATTTAATTTAATTTAATTTATTTCTTTTCTAATAATCTGACTTATTTTCTCTTTTAATATCTTCATTTGTTATACCAATATATTTTCTCTTAATCATATTGATTTATTTTTTCTTTAATATTATAATTTTTTTTTTATATATTAACTTATTTTCTTTTTAATATTATGATTTTATTCCTATTTTTATACGTTGATATATTTTTTTTGAATACAATTAAAAAAACAACTAAAAAAGTTAACGAAAACAATCAAACACAGGTAGTACACAGTTTGAGCCAAGAAACACCAAAGATATCCTCATAGAGAATGCTCAGGAACTCAGAAAAAGATTGCATTAAAGAGTGGCCCTCCATGAACTCGTCATAAGGCAGGTTTGCCAAATAGTCAGCACTTTTGTTGCCATCCAGGTATGTATATTATACTCTAATAATCCAATGTTTCATGAGCCAAGTCCTAATTACAAGCAGAATGTTGGAATTTGCATTTGTGGCAACCGTCTCGTTACTGATCATCTTGTTCAGAAATTGAATAGCGAGCACACTATCCATCTTCAGTATAACACGGTGCGAACCGAGATTCCAAGCAAGCTTGAGTCCATCCAATGTGTAGCGCCCGGGAAAATTTAAGAAGAAGAAAAAAAAAAAAAAACACGCGTGCCACGTCAGCAGCCACGTCAGCAGACCCAGTCAGCAGTCCTGGCCAACCAGGACCTGCCACGTGGCAAAACCACGTCGATCGGGGACGGGCCACATTGGCGATCCGCGTGCGCGCGATCGGACGGCCTAGATCAATCACGCGCACGGACGGCCCAGATTTAATCGCACGGACGGCCCCGATTTAATCAAAAACGGACGGCCCAGATTAAATCAAAATGGACGGCTGAGATCAAAAGGAAAAAGGGTATAAATAAGATCCCCACACCAGACCCCAAACCTTAGCCGCCTGCCCTCGCCGGAGAAGACGAACCAGAAGCCGGCCGCCGCCACCCGCCGCCGCACCGGAGGGATTTCCGACCGCCAATCGAGGTAAATTTCATACCCCCGACTCGTTTTTCCACGCTGATTTCCCCAGTGGCCAAATCGGAGCCAAAATCCCGGCCAAACAGCCAGAAAACATGGCCGAAAGCCAGCGGCGCTACTGCGCCCCTCCTCGATTTTTGCCTCCGATGAGGCCCTTCCCGGCCTCCGTTCAATGCAATTTTTATACCACCGTGATCACCATTCTTTTCTCTACGGGTTGATCGGAGCCGAATCACCAAAACACGAACTTCACCGGAGAGCCGCCGCACCCGAGAGCACCGCCCCCGGTAAGCTTCAGTTTTCCGTAAATTTTTGGCCCCCCGAGGGCCGTAGGGTTGTTTTATCGCAGGAACCAATGCGAGTGTGGCCGAATTCGATCAGAAACGGCAGAAAAACGACCAACCCGAGGTGAACCGCCGCCGCTTGCGGCGGCGCCGTCGCCGGAGCACGGCGGAGCCGCCGTGCCGGAGTTGCGATATTGGCCGAAAGGGGCCCTAGGCCTAATTTGGGATTTTTTGGAATACGTGCAGGTACCTGTAGTACGTTTCAGTTCCCCGGGAAAAATTCCGGAAAAATTAAGGATAGCCTGCAAGCGCACTGTGAAACCGTGTTCGGACCCTGAAAGGAGTAAGCACCCCTCACCCTATTTCCTATCACGGTTTTAAAGTTCAATAAATGATAAAACGGTATTTCATGAATCAACGAATGTGTGAAATTGTTTAAGGTCGCTACTGGAGCCCGAATCTAGTGTGTTTGTCGGTTAACTGTTATTTGGCCTGTTTTACAGTTCTAAATGCAGCATGAGGTTCGATGTTTTCATTTTATAGTTTCGTGTGCATATTTTACTGTTTTATTGATTATGGATTGAATGACCGGGATATTGATGCTGTATGTTGTCTGTTTGGCATAAATTCTCGTTTTGCTTGTTTGTATGTGATTGATAATGCTGACTGAGGGAAAAGGAGAATGAAAGATTATGTAAATGAGAATTGTATAATGTGGTTAGCTTGACTAGATATCCTGGGAGATGGTGGACGGACCGGGTCCGTAGGGAACCCTACCGGGATTGTGGTCTCCCATACCGGACGGGGTATGGAGATCTTACGTGTTTTGGCGCCCATACCGGACGGGGTATGGGGACGACCCGTTTCACCCTCATACCGGACGGGGTAATGAGGTATATGGTTTGGTGCCCATACCGGACGGGGTATGGGGACGGCCCTGGAATATGATTTCAAGTGTTAAGGGTTAACGGGTAGCGGGACCCCTATGGATCCCCATGGATACTAGTGGGCTGGTAAATGAGGAAAACATGTTGTGTAACGATTGAATTACGAAAAGCTTGATAGGTATTATGTTATACAGTTTATATATATGTTTTCATGATGATGATGATGTTATTGCTTTCGTATATTGTTTTATGAATTTCACCGAGGTAAGTGAATGGTAAAGGTTTTATTATTAATAAAAGGATTTGTTGTAAATTATGCTCCATTGGTCTTTTTGTGTTTTCTACCCACCTTTACCTCCGTGACGGTGAGATATCGTGATGTCTTTACTGGGCTAGTGTAGCTCATTCGTTATTTAATCATTTCAGATCAAGAGGACATCGTTCCCGAGCCGGTTCCGCAGGAGGACGACGAAGGGGATGCCTAAAGACTCCATAGTCATATTCGTAGCTTTTACTTTCAAGTTTCTCATTTAGGTAGTTTGATCTTTTATATTTTGTGGGCACGTTTTTGGTTTTAGTGTAAGGGATGTTATTCAAATTTTGACTTCGCTTCCGCATTTGATATTTTTAATATACATTTCATTATGAATTCCCGGGGCTGTTACACAATGCACCACAAAGCTCTGCTTGGAGGATAGAGCAAGACCCAATTTTCTGGAGTCGACCGTCGAGCCAATGTCCAACATTATCTCGACCCAATGCATCAGCACATGCAACGTCGCAGTTCTCACGGAGGGCCCCATCAGTGTTGATCTTGATCCAGTCCAGGGGCGGTAGATGCCAATTGATTAACCTCTCGTGCTTTTGGCTATGGCGGACAGATTGAGCCTGAAGCTAGAGGTTTGAAAAGTATACTTTGTCATCCTGAAAACCTCCTGTCTCAGCTCATCCACACTGAGCGCTTGACCATTGAAGACCAGGATGTTCTGTTGCTTCTATAATAACCAGCAAGTGATACCAAAGATCGTCCTCCTGTCCTGAAAGGAAGGGCACCAACTGTATTGATTCTGTAAGTTGGTGCAGAGCCAATCATCAAAAATCATACTTAAAAATGTGTGAGTGGCCATTCGTGGAAAAATCTTCTGCCATAGAGCCTGCGCTTGATGACACTCCCTCAGGACATGGTTGATGTCTTCAATGCCATGACCACACACCATGCAACCTAGATCATCCACCATATGCTGTCGGACCTTCTATGCATTGGTAAGTAGTTCTCTCCTAAGAATCAGCTACATGAAATGCCGAATACGCTGTGCGCCCGGCCAACTCCACATGAGACTCCACATCTTATCTACAAAAAGAGAAGAAGTGTCAGTAATCATATGATAAACAGTTTTGACATAAAATTTATCATCCGAGGAGACGCCGCAGTAGGGAACATTGGCCCCTAAGCCCTCCTGCGGAACCCTCACTGTGGCTAGTTGCAAAAGGATCTTTGTTGGGAGCCTGTTTTATAACCAGTGTCAATTCCACTAACCGTGCTGAGTGACCAGATCCCTAACCATTTGAGCTTTGCTAGAATCATTAAGGTGTTGGTAGGCAAGGAGCTTAAGTGGCCCGCAACCCTCCAACCAATTATTCTCCCAGAACTACACCTTCATGTCGTCCCGATGTGTCAAGCCAACCCTAATTGGGCATCCTCCCAAAGGCCACTTAGCTTCCTCCAAATGTGGGAGCAAGGACCAGAGTATTTGGTCTCACTATCTAGGAGATCCCACTTGTACTTATGTTGCAAAACCTTAACCCAAATGAAGTACGACTGAGTAATAATATTGAAACAAACTTTTATAAGGAAAGCTTAGAATCTTAAACAAATTCTCCTTTCTAAACCTACAATTAGGAATTTTGGTGATTGAGATGAAAGAAGCAAGAATGAACAAATGTCACAAGATAACTTGATAAGTTAATTCAATTCTTGATGCAATAAGAAGAATAAGAATTCTCACTTGTTAAAGTTCTATCAAAGACAAATAAATTCATTCAACAATCGAAGTGTATTATGTTATATTAAAAATAAGATATTTATAGTCTAAATCACCTAGATTCTGCCAAATGATCATAATTAGATAACACAGAAAAACATGAACATGATTTAAATAATTTAGAAAAAATAAACATAATTTAAATGACATAGTGAAACATGATATTAAATGATCTAGAGAAACATGATATTAAATGACCTAGAGAAATATAGTATTAAATAACCTAGAGAATATGATATTAAATGACATATGAAAATATAATATTAAATGTCTTAGAAAAACATTAATATAATTTAATTATCTAAAAAATTACCAAAATGATCATAAACATCCATTGTAAATTATGCCCACACACTCGAATGAAATTAACGATTTTCTTTGACTTCTTTAATTCTTCAAACAATCCATATGTGTTAAGTTCTTATTGTATTCATCTTTGTACAAAAACCTTGAAATGTGTGTTTTAACGTCTTAGTTTTTAAAATGCAGTGCAACAGTATTCTACCTCTAGGGAGTAAAGGATTCTCATTTAAAATTTT